ATTATTCCAGATGGCGGTATTATTATTATTATTATTATTATTATTATCATCATCATCATCATCATCATCATTATCATCATCATCATCATCATCATCATCATCATCATTATCATCATCATCATCAAAACATTATTCCGAGCCTGGTATCATTCAACAATCTTTACCAAGGAAGAAGGGTAAAATCAATAAGGAAAGACAATTAATGGTCTCCATCACAGAACCCACTGGAGTGGCAGGTCAGGGAAGAGAAAAACAGAGTGGCTTTATTTTGAGTTTTAACTGAGTTTCTATGAAAAGGGTAGTTGTTTTCTTCTTAGACTGCAAACTTTTGACACAATGTTCATTTCCTCCCTTTGCCACTGAACCAGCTCCACCTTTTTTTCAGCCTCTACAGCCATCAGCAACAGAAAGGGAGTAACTTGATTGAGTACATGATGAACTGTGAGGTCAAAGGGCACAGCTGGGTAATGAGGCAGCAAGGGATAGATAAATGGACTTATCAGCTAGTTGTTGGGCAGCTGAAGGTAGCAGAGACTGCAAATAGGTACTAACAGATCCAAAATATTAATACAGCAAGGGCAAAAATGTGGGTGGTGGAATGGGATGTTACAGTGGACCATCAATGAGGCCCTATCCACAACTTTGACTGGCCTGTGCCCTTTCATTGATCTATTATCAAATCAGTTGTCAATATGCTATTTTCATCCACACTTGGCAATACTAAAAACAAACCCTTCCATAGCCACTCTCCAGACCTGAACTGATATCTAGGAAGCGTTATGCCAAAATGTGGGAAAGAGCAAGTAACTCTACACAGGGAAATCTAAAGTTTTCCCTGTCATATGAGAAGATTCAGAGTTTAAGATTCTTGAAAAATGAAAATGACATAGTAGAAGGAAAGATGCTTTGGTGATTCACTTATCTGGGTTTGAATCCAAGCTCTGCCACTAAACAGCTGTGCAACCCTAAGCAAATTATTTGCTGCTGTTTATGTCAAATTGATATTAAGATACTGAATTACTAAATATAATGTATTAAAATAATATAAAATGATATATTTAATAAACATTTTAAATGATATGCAACGAAAACCATAGAATTTTACAGCACAAAGAATGAATCTTAACATATGCAAATTTTTAAATCATTTAGGAGGTTAAGGGATCCAGGGATGGAATGCAGAATGTGGCAAAACAATTTATTTGCATTATAAATGTATGAAACAATCTCCCTAGGAGGTGGGGGGATCACGTGTTAACCTAAGTAATTCTGGAAATAGTGGAGTCTGTCAGACTACAGGCAAAAGAAACTGTACATGAACACAGTGGTCTAGTTGGAAGTGGAATGTGAAACTTCCAGGATTATCTTTAAAGGGAGGGAACACCCTTTAAAGAAGGGTGTCTTCTTTCCTACTGGGTAGAATAGGGCAGGATGTCTGGTGGGAATACCCATCTTGGACCATGAGGTGGAAGATGGGCTGAGGATGATGGGAACAAAAAGATACAAGAAGCCCATCTTCTTCTTATGACTATAGAGCCACCATTCTAGCTGAATTTAAATGGAATGAAAAATAAACTTGTCTTGTTTAACTCACTCTTATTTTTAATTTCCTGTCACAAAGGAATCTAATCACGACTAGTATAGATTTCACTTGTATCTTTTCCTTCCTGCCTTTTACCCTTCCACCAATTCTGGAATCCCTCACAAAGTGAGGGTACATAACTTTTCAATATATAACTTTCCTTCTAAGACCCTCTGAGGTCTTCTTAAGCACCCAATTCTAGCCAATGAAAGGGGGTATAAAAAGTTATGACCCTGAATGGAATAATAATTGATCAGTAACATAATTTGCATGAACTCATCATCTTCACAAAAGAGTTTTTAAAATGAGTATAAATTTAGCTTTTGTTTCCTTTATATCAAAATTACACACTTACTAGATTTGCGGAGAAATTTTAAGAAGTATAACCTTTAAAACTGAAAGCAACATGGTTGGAATGTAAATTTGGTGCAGCCACTATAGAAAACAGTATGGAGAATCCTCAAAAAATTAAAAATAGAACTACCATATGATCCAGCAATTCCATTTCTGGGAATTTTTCCAAGGAAAAAGAAGAGTAATTCGAAAAGATATATACGTGCCTATGTTCATTGCAGCATCTTTACAATAGCCAAGATATGGAAGCAACATAAATGATAGATGAATAGATAAAGACGTGGTGTATATATGTAATGGAACATTACTCAGCCATAAAAAGAATGAAATCTTGCCATTTGTGACAATGTGGATGCATCTAGAGGGTATTATGCTAAGTGAAATAAGTCAGACAGAGAAAGACAAATACCATATGATTTTACTTATAAGTGTAATCTAAAAAACAAAACAGATGAACAAACATAACTAAACAGAAACAGACAGATACAGGGAGCAAATAGGTGGTTGCCAGAGGGGAGGTGGGGGGTAGGAAGGAAGAAATTAAAAAAAAACGACACTAACTATGTGAGGTAATAAATGCTAATTAACTTGATGGTGATCATTTCACAGTTTATTTATATGAAACCATCACATTGTACACCTTAAATATACAATTTTTGTCAATTATACCTCAATAAAACTGAAAAAGAAAAAGACTTTTAAAAATAGTAAAATAAAAGGCAAAAATAAATAAAAATGCAAAGCAACACAAAATAAAAACACTAACATGCTGGTTTGGAAGGTGATAACTTTGTCATGTAAAACAGTAAAAATATTAAGAAAATAGTCATTCATGACTGGTGTGTCATTTTTCTTTTAAATATTTCCATAATAGACACTAATAGTCTAAAATCTCCCTCTCTCTCTCTCCCCACCTCACTCACCCCCTGGACTTTTGATGTTACACTGGATTTAGGAATTACAAGTCTGTTCATAGAATAATAGAGCATAAAAGGAGGATGGCAGTTAATACTTGCTAGGTGTCCATTTCAAAATGGTTACCTAGCAACAGTTGGAGTTTGTAGCTACAAGGACTAGTGCCAGGGGCTTACAGTTAAAAAATTTGCTTGAGCTAGACTTGCTCCACTAAACATCTCCTCTGCATGCTTTCAAAATAAGAATCACCTTTTGGGGTCATGTAGGCTGATGTACAACGGATCATCTGTTTTATTTGTTCTATCTCACTCTCTGACAGGGAAAATATACTCGGTGTTTATAGCAAACCACTCAGGTTGTGGGGAAAAAAACCTGACAGTATTTGAAGCTAAAAAAAAGTCTCTCTCAAAGTTCCTAGATGCCAGGGATAGCAGCTATGTGAATTCATAAACAGATTTTTTGAAACACAAAGTCCACTTTTAAGTAAGAAAATTAAGTTTTTTGAAACCCACAGAATAAGTTTGAAGAATTTAAATCAGCATTAAATAATTCTCACTAAAGTTAATATCAGTCTAAGAATACTCTAACCCAACAGCCTCCCCAAGTTTTCATCTGTCTATGTTCAGTTGCAGGAAACTGAGACAAATATCTGTAAGAGGAGAAATGCAGGATGTATTACAGTGGTTGTGGTATTTGATATTTACATCCTATCATTAAGCTGCACTTCTATTTGTTTGTGTTAAGCCTCTCTCCTTGTTTACAGTTATTTTCCATCTATATCTCAAAATTATAAAATAGTTTATCTGTATGATTTCTTTGTAAAGTCTCTGGAACTCTAACCTCTCAAAAGGAAAGCCTCTTGATAAGGTTTAAATACACATCCCACATGCTGTATGCATTAGAAATCTATTAAAATCAAATTTGCAGGCACTCAGCTATTTGTTCACACAAACAGATATTTGTACACAACAGTGTTCACAGCAGCATTATTCAAAATAATCAAAAGGTGGAAAACCCATGTCCATCAACAGGTGAATGGATAAACAAAATGTCGCATATATGACAGAATAGTATTCAGCCCTAAAAAGGAATGAAATTCTGACACGTGCTCCAATATGGATGAACTTTGAAGACATGATGCTAAGTGAAATAAGCCAGACACAAAAAGATAAATATTGTATGAGTTCGCTAATAGGAGCTACCTAGAGTCATCAAATATATAGAGACAGAAAGTAGAATGATGGTTTCCAGGGGCTAGGGTGGGAGTGGGGGCAGGGAATGGGGAGTTATTGTCTGATGGATGCAGATTTTCAGCGAAGATGAAAATGTGCTGGATATCTACAGCAGTGATGGTTGCACAACATTGTGAATGTAGTTAATACTAATCAACCATACAGCTAAATTTAAAATGGTAAATTTCAGTTATATATATTTTACCACACACAAACAAGCCAAAAGCATCTATTTAGTCCAGACCAAACATTAACAATACTCTGATTTTGCCTTGTGCTCCAGTGTCCTAATGGGGAATAATTACAGGTAGAGAAAACTCTTTTGTGGGGAATGTGTAATGAACAGAGGAATAAACCATCTTATCAAAAGAGCAAAATCCTGCCTGATTCTTGCTAGGAATTCTGATAATCAGCTGAACTAAAATTTTTGAAAGTGAAAGAAACCTGACTCTTTTGAGGGGAAAATGGGCTAACAGTATCTATTCCAACAAATATCCACTGTGTTGTTTCTCTTTCGCCTTTTTCCTTCAATGGCCAGACATTTAAATTTGTCTACCCTGAAGAATGAAACAAAATATATGTAAAAGTGAAATTATTTTGCCGTTGCTTCCCGTAAGCTGAACATTCATAACCTGTACACGGCTTTTATAATTGATCCTTTTCAGCAATGTAATTACAATACTATTAGATTTGCTTGTTTTCTCATCTGGGCCCTACACTGAACCACTGAGATAACCATTACATAGAGATACTGCCATCTTAATTATAGTGCTGTGGGTTGATCACGATGGACCCCAAATGAAGACCAGATTAGACTTTTAGACTCTTTCGAGTCACAAGCTTATGATGTATAATTTTTGTAAAGAAGACTAATATCATTTAAAAGCATGATTTTTATCTTTTCATATACGTTGTCTTTAATTTTTATCCCTATTGCAAAAGTAAAATGTATCAATTACAGGAAAATCGGGAAATACACATAGGCTTAATAAATCCTAGGACCCCACACAATCCTCTCAAAGAAGCATGGTAGGCTAGCCTGTCTGCCTCTTCAGTGCTGTGCTGAATATATTCTATTTACTGCACCCCATTTCCGCCAGGAACATCTCCTCAACCTCCCCTGTGCTGCTCCATCCTCTTAGAGGCCCCCAGGTTTCCTGCTTTTTGCCTGAATTCAGCCAATGAGAGGGCTGGTAGGTCCACATCTCTGGCATCCCAAAGAAACAGCTACTTACCAGAAGAAATACGGTGTTTTATTTGGGGTCTGTCCAAAAGCAGATCTTGAATCAAGGACTTGAATGTAAGCCGTTTATTTGGGAGGTTATCCCAAGAAACAGAAACAGTGGTAGGAAAACGAGGAAGTGAAGCTGGGAAGAGAAGGAAATAAACAAGAGGGTCAAGCAAGTCACCCTATGGGCAACTGCAGTTTAATTTCTTGGAGGAAGAGAGAGGAATCTTAGAAACAGCGAAGGATATACACCTCAGAGCTGTCCCATGTGAAGGGTGGGGATTGGGGCATTTGTCACCAATTCACACTTGTCAGTGATGGAGGATGACCCAAGGACAGTGTATGTGAAAGTGTAAGGGCTGTACCCATCGATTTCTCCAAAGGAGTTTCTGGAAGGACAGTGTCGGTGAAGTGGCAGGCGTTGAAGCCAGAATGCTTCAGAGGAAGAACTGATTATGTGTGCAGACAATTCTTTCAGAAAGTTTGATTCTGAAAGGGAAAAGAGAGAGAGGGCTGTAGCCAAAGGGGTAAGGGGTTAGAGCAATGTTTTCAAACTGGGATCTTTGAAAGTATTCTCAGTCCAAAAGACCTGAGAATTTAAACACACACACATACACACACACACACAGTGTCCACACTGTATGCCTGGATGCCCACTTATAACTGAAAACTAACTATTTGGGGATTTCAGTTCCTCTTGTCATATTTGTGTTTACAAACAAGTCACAGCCAGGCAGTCATCCTTTAAAGATAACTTTTCAATAGAAATTGTTCCCACTGCTGTACCAGAGGAAGGATGCTCTCCATGGGAGTGAACGTCTGTTTCTGTGTTGACAAGGAGAATCCTGATCCTGTCTTACATGCTGCTTGTTCTGGCTTTGGAGATGTTTGCATTTGAAGGGACATTCCCAGTGGAGAGTGCTTATGTCCTAGAAAAGACATTGAGATTCAAAGAGAACAAAGAGCATCAGAGGGAATGAGATATTGGGGATGAGAGATTTGTTGTATTAAAACAGGAGCACAAGCTGAAAGCTTGATAACATTGCATCCACTCAGTCACTCTGGCTACTATAGGGCACCTCTCCAGAAAGAAGCTCTGGAAGCTTTCAACCCTGAAGGACTTGAGGACTTGATTTTCAGAGAGGAATTACTTTCGTGGGTATATGAGTGGGTGTCTCAAGCAAGATTAAGTGGGAATGGGCTCCGTTGTGGCCACGGCAGTGTTGAGTTGTGGACATAGGCGGACCAGATGTAAAAGCCCCTTGTTTGGCCATCCCGGAGAAGTTTCCTGTCTGTCTGGGTATGCAGGCCATAAATATGATTTAGTGTGTGCCTGTGAAAAGCAAAGAGAACTTGTGTCATAGGTCATCTCAAGATTTTGATGTCTAATAAGGAAGAATTTAGCATCAATGATTAGGACAAATAATCTTAAAAGTACTCAATGTTTAAAGGAGTTTTACAAACACACACACACACACACACACACACCACAGAGAAAAACACTTTGTTTTAACAGAGCAGCTATTTGCAACTTTTCATCTGGTCTTTCTAATCTTGATCTATATGCCTATAGTTTTTAAATCCTTGTGGCCAATGTGTTGAATATTTCATGAGTGATCTCAGACATACCACGTCAGCTCCACTAGTCTGTTTTTCTGTCAGCAAATGAAGAGAACTGCTTCTATTTCACAGGGTTGTTATGAAGCCCAAGTGAGATAACGTAATATAAACACAATTTGTAAACTCTAAAGTGTAAAATTTTGAGGTATAATACTCACATGTGACTGCTTATATGCTTTTCTATGTGTCATTTTCAATGGTTACAAGTCATCATTTCTTTAACCATTGGCTGTTGTTCATTCCTGCTTTTTGCTACCATAAATAAAGCTGATTATAAACATCTCTGAATAATTAGCATTTTTCCATTCTGAAATATTTCCTTAGAACAAATTCCTGGAGGTAGAATAGCTGGGTCCAAATAATAGCCAGTACATTCTTCTTTAGATGATGTACATCTTCTCAGCACAAACCCTCACTCCAAAAAAATCCAAAACCTAACTATGATGCACCACAATTCAGATAAGTCAAAAAAAAAAAAAACTAGATCTAATCCTGGTGATGGCAGCAAATCAGCATATATAAAACCATATCATTATAATTTCCAAAAGGCAAATAAAAACTTTCTCTGATCTTGGAACAAGTCTCCCAATGGCTAAAAATCCTCTTTTTGAAATGTGACAAGATAGAGAATGAAAGGCAAAGACCCTGACCTGGTAACCTTCTTTTCCAGTTTTAGCATCCTCTATTTACAAGAGACCTGGTTTTCAGAGGATAAATTTCTTCCCATCCAAGGCTTCAGGCTCCTTCTTTTCAGTTGGATTAGAGTCAAAGAAAAGTAATTTTGGTAAAAGGATAGTTTGCTACACAGATTTTAGGTTAAAGTTGAGGACATAAATTTTGTGCTGCATGTATATAAAATATGAAAATATATCCCTAATGATGTGGTTCCAGTTTTCTGAAAATATTATCTTAATATTTATAAAGTACATGCAGATTCTTAGGCTCCTGAACTGTATATGCTCTTAACATAAATTATCTGATACTATTTTTGGAGGCTTAAATGATCAGATTGGCAGGAATTCTCTCTGCCTAAAAGATTCCCTTCTTTGATTGAAATTTTGCTTTCCTCTGGGCCATTTCTTTAGGGGTGGCTGTAGGAATCAAAGAAGAAATATCTGACCAAACAAATACGGTTCAGTAGGAACTCTCCCTATAAGGTGTTTCAGGGGAATTTTACTTAATATCGTTAATCAAGGGACCAGTGTGATTATTGAATGATTAGCTCTACATGGCTCATTTTGTTTCTCCAGATATTTCTTTTTTAAATGGCTTGAGAAGGAGTTAGGAGGAGGTATAGTGGAAGTGCTGGCTAAGAGTTAACTGCGTATGGTTTCAGCTTTGCCACTAACTAACTAGCTGTATGTCCAGATCCAAGTTAGTTACTTATTTGGGCTTCAGTTTCTTCAACTACGAAGTTGAATCTAACAAATACTCTGTGATTCTATATAGAGCAAAGACCATTTAGAGAGGCAAATAACATAGAAAAGTCTTTCTTAATGTTGTGTTATTGCTGTTCATTGCAGTTGTGTATGTGTGTGCGTGTGTGGGCGTGCTGGTGGAGCACTGGGTGGGAGGAGAACTTCCTACTTCTCTAAGTATCAGTAGTTGAAAAACAGGTTGGAAAAATACACTGTGTCCTCCTGTGTTTGGGCAAACAGGAATCAGGCTACCCTGACCTCATATTGCATCAAGATTGCCAGGAAGCCTGCAAAGTTCGTCCAACGCTGCCCAGACGCATGTCCGGCTGAAAATAAGCTGGAAGGAGCAGTACAGAGCGTTAATGCCTGTAAAGAGGTGAGCAGGTGCCGGCCAGGTGCGGCACGTACTAAGTGCTGAGTTAACATCTGCCTGATTGTTGTTATCAGCTCTTACAGAAATAGCCCGTAGAATTCTCTAGGGTCGGGGAAAAAAGTCCTTAACTTACTCCAACCTCACTTCAGGTGCGTTAATATTTTAAAAAATAAACTATAATACTTCTACTACTTGTTAAGATTATTATTTCTCTCACATTCACATCCCAGCAGCTGCGTATTTGTATTTGGTATTTATCTGGCATCGCTGTTAAATCTAAGATCCCAGACTAGAGCTCAGGTCCTACAAAGCACTATTATGAGAACGGAGAGAAAGTCAGTCCCAGTGTCCCCTGAATCCGCCTTCCCTGCCTGCAGCCTCCTTCCTCTGCGGCCCTCGCAGACCTAGGCCCATAGTGCTTGCTGTTTAGCCATCCACATGGCTTGCCCAGTCTGCGCACCTCTGCTAGTGCCTCTTACAGTCACATTTTCACTTCTCCCTAAAATCTCTCTGGCCTTGCCGGCTGGTCTAATGCTACATTCTGCTGCTTCTTCACACGCCCCTCAGGTCCATGGAGAACGATCTGCTGTGGGCTTCCAGGTGCCTTCCCCAACTCTCTGCCCAGAGGTTCTTGCCCCTGCTTGTTGGCCTAATAAACTCTTAAAACTGCCATCCTTCAAGACTCAGCTAAAATATCTCTTCCAGGTATTGTATTGCTTCCGGAATCCTTCGAGCTGCCTCAGCACCCAAGACAATTGCATATACACAAGACACTGCGAGTTTCCTGGAACCATGCATTTTACTTTTTATATTTTCAGCACAGAATCTGACAAACAGGTGCTCAAAAAATGCTGACCCCATATTTAGACCTGTGTTCTAATCATTTCATCTGCAATTTCTGTTTAGAACATGGTAAGGAGAGGTGCTTATATGAAAAAAAGTGTGTAAATTGACATGGGAAAATTTATACTAGATCATGTTTGAATTTCTATTTGCTTTATGGAAACTCATCTTTAAGCAAAGAAAAGTGGGACCAGATGACCTAGGGTCCCTTTCAGTCTCAAAGATCTCATTTAAGAGGAAAGTCCCTCCACACTCAACCCCCAACACACTCCCCCATGAATTTCTTACACTTCTACCAACCATGGACCCATTTAGGTTAACAAGTTACTCTCTTCAAAATTTAATTTCTTGGTAGGAAAACTAAGTCTATTTACCCATTAGTGAGAATTACTCTAAATAGAAATTCTGCTGTGGAGAGCCATGGGCTGGGGACAGTGAGCATGCTTCATTTTTTTGTTTGTATGTTTACTGAAGTATGATCAACTTACAATATTAGTTTTACTTTGGTTTTTGTTTATTTAAGTATAATTGACTTAACAATATTAGTTTCAGGTGTACAACAGAGTGATTCAGTATTTTTGTACAAAATGATCACCACGTAGAGAAGCAAACTTTGAATGGAGGGCTCTTTCCAGGCACACAGGTCACAGCTCTAATGCTAATTAGCATTCCTGAGCTGCAATCCACCCTCGGCCCAAATTCCTGGCCCATGGAAAGCCAGTGTCTGCAGTGTAAAGAGCCTGGGCATCTTTGCCAAACAAAGCTAGTTTCAAATCCTGGCTCTGTCACTTGTTGGTTCTACGATTTGGGGTAAACTACCCAACTTGGCAGAGGTTCTATTTTCTCACCCATAAAATGGTGATAATAACAGTAAATACATCACAGGTTTTTGAGAGGATTAAATGAGATGATGGGGCTAAGGTCCTGGGACAGAGGAGTGCATATCAGTAGTAACTATTACAGCTTTGCATGACTTTGGGGCTCTAGACTTGCCAGTAGTAGGTTTGGGTTGGTTGATTACTGGGTCTTGCTCTGAACTGGAGATGGGTTGGGGTGGGGGTAGTTTGGTGATAGGACAGGAGGCCTGGTGGATATCTGGTCAGTTATGGCACACTGTGGAGTCCTCAGCTGGGGGACACACTATTCCAGGAGCTCCAGAAAATCATCAGCCCACAGCCTGCCAAAGACCCTAGGTTCTGGGGGCTAGTCCCTCTTCCAGCTGAAGGTCTTTTCCACTTCTAGCCCACTAAACTAGGGAAGGCCACTGTACTCCTGCAACTGTGGTCCCATCGGCATCCCTTGGGAGCTTATAAGAAATGCAGAAGCTCAGGCCCTGCCCCAGACCTACCGAATCTGCACTTTTAAATAATTGTGCTAAAATATGCATAACACAGAATTCACCATCTTAACTATTTTTAGGTTTACAGTTCAGTAGTGTTAACTATATTCACATTATTGTGCAGCTAATCTCCAGAACTCTTTTCATCTTGCAAAACTGAAACACTGTACCCATTAAAACAACTCTCGTTTCCTTCTCCCCTCACCCAGCCGCTGGCAACCACTCAGAACTGCACTTTAACAAGGTCCCCAGCTGATTCATATGCCCATTAAAGGTTGAGAAGCACAGCCCTAAGTATGAGAACCATAGATTATAAAATCAGGAGCCACTGTGAGTTTCCTGAGGCACCCAGGCCATGACCTTGGGCAAGGCAATGGAAATCAGCCAGCAGAGCAATGACTAATCTCTCCAGACAATTCTGATGTATGCTCAAGTTTGAGAACCACTGCTCTAGACCAGTGATTTGCCCTCCTGCCTACATACTAGAATCACCTGGGAAATTATGACTGCGATCCATCCCAAACCAACTCTAGTCTCTAGAAGCAGGACCCAGGCATTTATATTTTTGAAATATCTCACAGCAATTGTGATCACTTAGCCAAGTTTCAGAACCATTTATCTGGAGGGACGAAGGAGGCTGGTAGGATTCTGCGCTGTGTGTGGGATTTAGAGGGGAATGGTGTTCCAGGTAAGGAATCGTAACTGCTGCTCCATTTTATATTTGCCCAGGTAGCCTAATATGAACAATTGCTCCAAGGAGTTGAAAAAAAAAGTCTTTGTGAAAAGAAATAGCTGTCTTCTCAGAAGCCGTGACACCCTCCCATTGCCTGTCATTATTTCCTAACACGGTGCTCTGTTTATTTTAATAGCATCCACCACAATGAGCAATTACCATGCTTACTGTCTGCCTCCTCTCGCTGAACCAACACCTGCAGCTGTGTAAGAGCCAGGTTCAGAGCTCTTGCTCACCTCTCCCTCTCACAGAGCCCTTGATAAATATTCAAGTGAATCAAACACGTTACCAATCAACCCTGTTATGTCACCGAATTTCCTCACTTACTGGCCCCAAACCAACAGAGTGTAATATAGGAAAGCAGGGAGCCAGCTTCTGACAGTGAAAGAGGCTGCCAAACTGTCGGGACTGGAAGAATTGTGATGGTGGTGGGATGGGGGGGGGAGCAGGGGAATGGGGGATTTGCATGATGCAGTCAAGGTCAGTGGGGGGTGAGTTTTCCCAGGTGGAAGAGGCCAGTGCAGGTAGCAGTGCAGACTGATTGACTGGGTGAAGATCAGAATTCTTAAATGAGTGATAGGGACTTTGAGTTAGTGAGATTTGAATATATAAATGTGACTTCATCCAGAACTTCCCAGCTGGTAAGGCTTGGATGAAAATGAATTTATATTTATATAACACCTCCCATGCTGACTCCCATCCCAGGTAGAATTCTGTAGTGGGAAGACCATGGATTTTGAAACAGACATGCATTTAAATTCTGCTTTAGAGATTGTAGAGCTGACAGCCAGCTGGAGATTGAGTTCTTAAAGAATCTGGGACACCCGACCACACCAACCCCAAACTGTCTAGTACTTGCAGAATCCCCTTGAAAAAGAAAGTGGCCAACTGTTATATGCAACTGAACTTAATTTGAACTAATACAAGGTATAGTTAAACTATGCTTCTTTCATATTCAATTCACAAAAATGAGGTTTAATCACAGATAATCATTGCACTGATTCCATGATGATCAAATAGTGTACAGTCTACTAGTTGCACTGAACTGGTGGCTGAATGTAGAGTTTTGATTTATAATGCAAAATAAATGTTAAGATGCTTAAAGAAGTGTAGCTGATCCAAAAAGCCGATTTTAGACAGTAATAAATAGCCCTAAGCTTCTCTGGGCACCAAACATTACCCCTTAAGGAAAACATATGCAAAAAAGCACCACAATCTAGTTAAAGTAAGAAGTATTGCTGTTGGTTTTGTGGATTTCTACTAACTATTTTTATTTGTCTTAAGTTTGAAGATAGATTTTAGGCACATTTACTGTGCTAGAGAATTATCACTAGTAAGAAACAGAGTCTCTGTCCTAGAAATACATATATGTAACTTTTGGTCTTTACTTTTTGTCAGAAAATGAGCAGGGTGGGAAAGAAACAGAGACAACATGAGATAAAGGGAATGAAATGGAAGGTTATATACTGGTCAGTGGGAAAACAGGGAAAAGCAGAACTTGGAGGAAGATGCTGAGAGAGGGCTCTGTCCTATGGGCTGGCTGGGACAGAGAGTAGTGATAATATCTACTGTTGGAACAATGGATTTCTGTTTACAAAGCCCATGAGTTACCTCACTCAGCAGTAGGTGTAGAAACACAGGGAGGGATACCAGGGGTTATGAGTCAGAGAAGGGACGGCTGTAAGGGAATAGCAGCAGGAATTCTTTGGAATGATAGAAAAGATAGTCTCTTTACTCCAACTGCCCAAGATAACCAACATTGGTTATAATGTTGGGCGTGTATGTAAGTATCAGGGAATGATTTTAGATTTTGATCTCACACTTACGCTGTTTTGGAGACCCTCTTTATGAAAACTACAAAATTAACTTCAGGGTCTTGAACGAGATCTCTGCAAGTGAGGGCTTCTGAGCCTTAGCCCCACTGTAAATCCAGCCCTGATCATTTATTTACACTTTAAAAACAATCAAAACAGGGACCATACTACACATAATATCCGTAAACTTTTTGCCCTCAACTATATGTCTTAGGTACCCTTTCCTGCCAATAAATCTGATTCCAGCTCATCTTTTAAAATAATTCTATGGTTTTCCTAATATTCTTTTTACATGTATTGAATGATATTTAAATTATTTCCACATGTTGATCCTCTCCCTGGGGGATGCTTTCCATAACAACAGAGCCTGGAATATGATAAGCCCTCAATAAAATCTTTGTTGAATTGGTGCCTTGTTCTGAGCTGCGTAGTTTCTGGTCTGACTGGGTTAAAAGATGGTGACCTCTACTCTGAAGCTCCCCTTGGCTGGAGTGGTGAGACAGAGAACAAAGCATCAGTATTCTGTCTCCAATGCCTCTCCCTCCTCTGTCCATCTTTCCTCCCTCCCGCTTCCCATGGGTTATCAACACTCAGGGCTCCTAGTGACTGGGAAACCTCACTGAACAGGTTTGGCCACAAAACAAGATGGTGTTTCAGGTATATGGTTGAGATTTCAAAGCACTTCTAACCTTTTAGGGAAAGTTTCCTGAACATTCTTTCCCTGGATGGCAGCAAAGTCCCAAGCATGCAACTGGAAAGACAGTGGCAATCAGAGAGTCTTGAGTTCATTTAGCTCCTGTGAATCTGGAAAATAAAGAATATTAAAAATGAATAAAAATTTCACAAGATCAAGGAGTGTGGGACTCTAGAAAGTTCTCTTTAGATTCTTATGTGATTGATAGAATGGACGGTGAATATATTTAATTTACCTAGGCCAAAAGGCATAATCTGTTCATTTGTGATTAGAGACATTCTCTAGAAATAATCAGCAGACTAAAAGTACCAGCAGAAGAAACAGTAGGTTCAAAATCTATCATCCCAGAATAATGAATAGAGTTTTGATGCTTTTAAGGAGAAAATGCATATGCTCATATCCTCAAATAAATCTCTACATCATTCATGAAAGATAGTGGAATATTAAGCCTACCAACTTCTCTTATTTCCAGCCTCTATAGCCGTCTAATCTAAACTGAGATCCCTCTTCTCCATGGGTTCAGTCATGTCCCCAGGCCCAGGTGAATCTAAGGCACCCAAGGGCAGGTGCTCAGTATAAAGGACACAAGTTATTGTTCCTTCCTACTTTCTCAGTTTTACATAGGTTTGTCAGGAACAGGGCTCTTGCTTCATTCCTAGTGCCTGAGTGGCTGACAAAAGTTTCAGTAACCAGGTCACATGTCTCTCCCATAGTTTTCTCCAGATCCTTGAACTATCCTGGCACCTCTTTTTGATACTCCATTTTTCTAGAGTGAGGACCCTGGGTAGACATCGCTAGTTCACTCATCACCACTCGTTCTCATTTCCTAATAGTACTTACACTGTCTTTCTAATATTTACCTCTTTCCCACACAGTTCAGACATTTCAGGGAAATCTGACCCCACGCCCAGCTCAAGAGGTGGGCTCTGGTGAGCTCAAGGCCATCCGCCCGTTGCAGTGCCCTGGTCAGTTAACCTGCTCAGGGATGTGCCAGCGACTCAAGCTATTTAGTCATGGTGAATCTCAGTGTCTTGCTCAGACTATGGGGACTCAGGTGCTCTATTTGTCATTGGAAATAAGCCAGAAAACTTTTAGCTCCCATTGCAGCTGGCAAAAACTAGTTAAATGTTCACTGCTGTTTCATTTTTCCCCTGGGCACACAGTTCACTACATTGCCCAGCCTCCCTTGGAATTAGGTCTGGCCATGTGACTGAGTGCTAGCGAATGGAATGTGGGCCATATCCATGTCTCACTTATCAAGCCTGCTGCCTCCTAAGTGATCATTCCTTCTCCTTCCCTATCTCCTGGCTGAATGGAGAAGCACAATGGAGGGAGCCTGGGTAGCAACCTGGAGGACGGCGTCCCAGGACTGACCAGGCACACTGTGTTGAACTGCATGGAGAAATAAATTTATATTTTGTGAAAAATACTAAAATGTTGAAATCGTTAATAATATTAACCTTCCCTGATTACTTCACTCCCTTACCTCTGAATCTTCCTTTTCATAGCCCCATAAATCCCTTTTATTGATTAAACATGTTTGCTTTGTGTTTTTCTATAACTACTAGAATAGGATTAACTGATAGAGATCCTGCCTTGCACCCCATTCTGATACAGATCCTGGTTTGCACTGTGGCTTTTGGGTTGTGTGGTTGAAGCTTATTTGATTCAGTTCATTCCTGGCATTCATGTCACCCTGCCTAGGGAGCGTGATCTTGCTTGTTTAATGGCTTAACTAGTGATTGTGGTTAGACGCTCTGCCTTATTTTCTCCATTCACTAAAATAACTCTTTTTTTTCCCCCACTTTAATTTGCTGTCCATTTAGGGATTAAGGATAACCACTACAGGCTCCATATTGCTCCTGGTTAATTACTTAGTGCTTCCTAATTACTCACTAAGGAGCCTAGCAGCCAAATAGTTTAACTAATATCACAAGATGAAAAAAGATATAAACTTGGATAGGAGCATCTCACCCTTACTTTCACGGGGGTTATAGTTCTCTATAACCAGATCAAAGTATCCATATTCATTGTTCATATCACTTTCACAGGGACCAAAAGACCTTGGAGGCAAATGACAAGGGTCAATGGAATAATGAAGTGGTTTGATTTAGTCCTTTCCAGATAATTGTCTATTTAAAACAAGCAGTCTTCTGTGTTAATAGCAAAGGCCAACCCCATGTCAGATCCACTTTAATAAACAAACCAATGTTGAGGAAATGCCAAATAGCAAGATCTTTTCTTTTTGCTCCAACCTTTCTTTCTCATACTATTTTACTGTCCCACCCAAGGAAGCCTCCCTGCCACTTGCTCCATCAGACTAGATGTGTTAAATCAGTATCACACCAACTTTTTTTAATCTAGTAATCCTTCTTCCCATCTTTTCTACCTTCGTTTGTATTGACCACTGATTTTAAAAAAAATTAAGTCAAAATTTCCTTTCTCAAAGCACTTACAACCTCATGAAGGAGACAAAATGCATTTTAATTGTAATAAAATATGGGAAGTGCTATGATAAAGTTATACACGTGGTGCTGTGAGGCACAGAGAAGAGCCGCTTAACCCAGTATTAAGTTCATAAAGGCTCTCGGGGGGAAAAAATGCCTAAGCTGAACCACAAAAAGCTGAATGCTATCTGAACATAAACCAGGAGCCTGAAATGCCAGCAGCTGATGGGTGGAGGGACACATTCAGGGAAGACGGTAGAAGGCACGAGAGGTCAGGGCTTAGAAAAGATACCTAAGCATGCTTTTGAATTAGTTATTCCTCTTAGAATTTAAGTTTCTTGAGTGTAGAAACCTGATCTATCTCATTCACTGATGTGTCTTCAGTACCTAAAACAGAGCCTGATACCTACATGGAGCTAAACAAGTATTTGCGGAGCTGAATAAATGCCTGGAAGTGATGCCATCAGGTATGCATCTCACATGAAACATGCTAGCAGCCATGTGCAGCTGGCAGGGAGACCAGTCCTCAGGCAAATGCAATAGTCCCAGAAGAGGAGGGGACCTCTGCATGGCAATGAAGGCAGGCAAGGAAAAAGGGACATATTTGAGAAATGTTTACAAAGTCAAGTCAGCAGGACTTGGTAACTGGATGTGGGAGACGAAGGAGAAATCAGTATGACCCCTAGTGATAAAGAATAGAGCAGGAATAGATTGGGAGGAGGGAGATATAATAGAAGAAACCTACATGGCTAGGAGTTTGCTTTTAACAAAATCTTTCTCCCACCCTTCACCCTCTCAGGGACCCCCTAACCAGGTAATGTCACATTCATACTGTCATGCTGATTTAAGCGACATTTATATAATTTTGAAATTATAAAATTTATGATAAGTTAGGATATATTTACATATCCTAAATAATATGTTATTTAAAGGTGTATGTTAGACCTTCTCACTGTATCTTTCAGATCAGTTACCTCTACTTTGTATTTTCCGTATTTTTGACTCCCTGTTCTAAATTCTTGGTCTGTGTGTGTGTGTCTATGTATATACATATACATATATATACACAGACACACAGACACACATACATATATGGCTGTGTGATTTCAATAATATTGAAATTATAATTTGTGCAAGTGCTTTTATTTTGGAGAAGACATTTCTCTAACAGCTAGATGAGATAAACTTTTTATTCACTTAAGATTATTATTTATTATTAGGATGTAGCACACAATTACTTTTTTTTAACATTTTTTATTGATTTATAATCATTTTACAATGTTGTGTCAAATTCCAGTGTAGAGCACAATTTTTCAGTTATACATGAACATATATATATATTCATTGTCACATTTTTCCCTCTGTGAGCTACCGTATGATCTTGTGTATATTTCCCTGTGCTATACAGTATAATCTTGTTTATCTATTCTACAATTTTGAAATCCCAGTCTATCCCTTCCCACTCCCTGCCCCCTTGGCAACCACAAGTTTGTATTCTATGTCTATGAGTCTATTTCTGTTCTGTATTTATGCTTTGTTTGTTTGTTTGTTTGTTTAGATTCCACATATGAGCGATCTCATATGGTATTTTTCTTTCTCTTTCTGGCTTACTTCACTTAGAATGACATTCTCCAGGAGCATCCATGTTGCTGCAAATGGCATTATGTTGTCGGTTTTTATGGCTGAGTAGTATTCCATTGTATAAATATACCACCTCTTCTTTATCCAGTCATCTGTGGATGGACATTTAGGCTGCTTCCATGTCTTGGCCATTGTAAATAGTGCTGCTATGAACATTGGGGTGCAGGTGTCATTTTGAAGTAGGGTTCCTTCTGGATCTATGCCCAGGAGTGGGATTCCTGGGTCATGCAGTAAGTCTATTCCTAGTCTTTTGAGGAATCTCCACACTGTTTTCCACAGTGGCTGCACCAAACTGCATTCCCACCAGCAGTGTAGGAGGGTTCCCCCTTCTCCACAGTCTCTCCAGCATTTGTCATTTGTGGATTTTTGAATGATGGCCATTCTGACTGGTGTGAGGTGATACCTCATTGTAGTTTTGATTTGCATTTCTCTGATAATTAGTGATACTGAGCATTTTTTTCATGTGCCTATTGATCATTTGTATGTCTTCCTTGGAGAATTGCTTGTTTAGGTCTTCTGCCCATTTTTGGATTAGGTTGTTTGGTTATTTCTTGTTAAGTCATATGAGCTGCTTATACATTCTAGAGAGCAAGCCTTTGTCGGTTTCATTTGCAAAAATGTTCTCCCAGTCTGTAGGTTGTCTTTTTGTTTTACTTATGGTTTCCTTGGCTGTGCAGAAGCTTGTAAGTTTCATTAAGTCCCATTTGTTTATTCTTGCTTTTATTTCTATTGCTTGAGTAGACTGTTCTAGGAGAACATATTTGCGATGCATGTCAGATAATGTTTTGCCTATATTTTCCTCTAGGAGGTTTATTGTATCTTTTTTTTAACATTTTTTATTGATTTATAATCATTTTACAGTGTTGTGTCAAATTCCAGTGTTCAGCACAATTTTTCAGTCATTCATGGACATATACACACTCATTGCAC